GATAGATGTGTGGAAAGAGTTATTGCCTGCAGGTATGTGTAATGATAGGTGGGGAAGACCTTGGAAGAAGGAGCAAAGGGGCCCTGCTCGGGAACAGTCAGATAAGAGACAGCAGAGCCCTCAGCTGTGTAACAGACAGGGTGAGAGGCTTAGAAGGGACCCTCCGTAGTTTCTCAAGCTTGTAAACAAGGGGGGGGGGGAATCTACATCTATGGAAAGAGATCAGAGTGTGTGCAAGGATATGGGGGGAAGACCTTGGGAGACAGAGCAAAGAAACACTGCTTAGGAAGGGTCGGATAAGAGACAGCATAGCCCTCAGCTGTGTAACAGAAGAGACCCTCCCAGGTAATTTCAGACTTGGCAAGATTCTGTAAACCTAGCTTTACACTAAAATAGAATTAACACAGCAGGTTGCGCTAACGGGAGGGAGGGGATTTTAGCAAAACCAGCTCCCACCTCCTCATTTGAAGGAGTCCTGAGCACAGTTCTGTAGGAGAAGAGCAGGTAGAGCTGGGGAGGGGCGGGGTCAAAGGAGTCATCAGCTTAGAATTCCTACGTCGCCACAAAGGATCCAAGTCCAGACCCCCTTGAATTCCGCTGACCCTTATCGAGCGCCAATTTAGTGCTGACCATTCATTGACTAGATTCTTGTGCGGGAGCTTGAATAAATCTTCTACGCTGCAGTCTAGCGGGTGGTGCTGGTTGTTTGTGCCTGTCAGATTCTCCTTAAAGCAGGCTGTGTTTAAAGTTACCAAAGCAATGTTTTCTTCTCCCTTCCCCTGCCCCTTCTTTGCAGACGACTCCACGGGGACCCACTCTCTGTATACCACATATCAGGACTATGAGATTATGTTCCACGTCTCCACCATGTTGCCCTACACACCAAACAACCGCCAGCAGGTGAGTAGATATAGAGTAGAGTAGAACAGAACAGAATAGAAGTAGTGGAATGGAATAGAGTACAGTAGAGTTAGAGTTGAGTAGAATAGAATAACACAGTAGGTAGAGTAGAGTAGAGTAGAGTAGAGTAGAGTAGAATAGAATAGAGAATGGATGAAAATAGAATAGAATAGAATAGAATAAGAGATAATGGAATAGAATATAATGAATAGAATAGAATAGAATAGAATAGAATAGAATAGAATAGAATAAGAGATAATGGAATAGAATTAGAATAGAATAGAATAGAATAGAATAAGAGATAATGGAATGGAATGGAATAGAATAGAATAGAATAGGAATAAAGAAAGAATAGAATAGAATAGAATAGAATAGAATAGGACATAATGGAATAGAATAGAATAGAATAGAATAGAATAGAATAGAATAGAATAGAATAGAATAGAATAGAATAGAATAAGAGAGAATGGAATAGAATAGAACAGAACAGAACAGAACAGAACAGAATAGAATAGAATAGAATAGAATAGAATAGATGTATTAAAGCAAGAATATTAAAGCAAATCATGATACAAGAAGTTATATCATAAGAATCTGAGGAAATATCTAATTGGACAGATGAGAAGGCTAATAAGTATTTCAGCCCTACTACCGTAGGTGGTTTGACATCCTCTCCCCCTTATTCTTTTCTTTCAGCTGTTGAGGAAGCGACACATTGGCAATGACATTGTCACCATCATCTTCCAAGAGCCGGGAGCCCTCCCCTTCACACCCCGCTTGGTCCGTTCCCAGTTCCAGCATGTTTTCATTGTGGTTAGAGTACACAGTTCCTCCACCGACCATACCACCTACAGGTGAGGGGGGGGGGAAGGCTGACAAACCCATCCTAACTTTTCATAGTACTTCTGATTATTACAGCCCTGGAGTAAAGGTGTTTTTCCTTGATTGCCCTGACATCAAAGAGTTTTAATTATGGTCTGGTCACCAAGAGGGTCCGCTGCAAACCGAGATTTTCTGACAGTGAGAACAATTAACCAGTGGAACTCCTTGCCTCCAGAAGCGGCGAATGCTCCAACACTGGAAGTCTTTAAGAAGAGACCAGACAGCCATTTGTCTGAAATGGGATAGGGCTTCCTGCCTGAGCAGGGGGTTGGACTAGATGACCTCCAAGGTCCCTTCCAACTTTATTATTATTATTATTTGGTTTCAGTTTCAGTTAATTTTCACACTGGGAATCCTACCACGTTGCCACCAGCCAGCAGTTCCCGAAGATTAAGCAGCATGCAAGTTTGATCAATAAATTTGAAATGATGAAGACAGTTTTCGTTTCCATCACAGCCTGTTTATCCGTGTACTCAAGGTCACCTGAGTGGTGCCAATGGTTGTGGAGCCTTGGAACTGCTGAAAGGACTGTGTGTTCCACACCCATTTTTGCACTACTCAAATGACCCTGAGGACACAGATAAACCTCCAAGTGGCCTCAACGATTCTCTAAAAGGAGGCAAATGTCCAGCGGTCTGCAAGGAGTATAAATCCTTCCATTCCCCACCGTCCAGTCAGAGCTGAGGAAACTTCTTGGAGGAGAAGCGAAACGTCTTCAAAAAAAACCCCAAGATAATCCAGTTGCCTCTTGCAAAAGCACTTTTGGGATTTCCAATGGATGCTGAATGCAGACCTGTTCTTCCCCACGTTAACTTGGCCTAGCGCAGGGGTGGGGAACCTTGGCTCTTTCATCACTTGTGGACTTCAACTCCCAGAATTCCTCAGCCAGCCTGGCTCAGCTTGGAAACCTCCCTTTCCCCTCAGCACGGCTGGCTCAGGAATTCTGGGAGTTGAAGTCCACGAGTCTTAAAAGAGCCAAGGTTGCCTACCCCTGGTCTAGGTCGGTCGGTCGGTCTGTCTGTCCGTCCGTCCGTCTGTCCATCTGTCTATGTCAGGGATAGGCAACCTTGGCTCTTTTATGACTCCTGGACTTCAACTCCCAGAATTCCTGAGCCAGCGTGGGGGAACTATGGCCCCCTCATGACTTGTGGACTTCAACTCCCAGAATTCCTGAGCCAGCATGGCTCAGCTTGGAAACCTCTCCCTTTCCCCTCAGCACGGCTGGCTCAGGAATTCTGGGAGTTGAAGTCCACGAGTCATAAAAGAGCCCAGGTTGCCTACCCCTGGACTAGCGTATTACCGAAAGCAGTTAAACTGGCAATTAAAATCTGTAGTGACGACAACAGGATGATAACCTCCCTCGTGTTGAAACCAGCGAGTTCGTTTAACAATTCAGAGCTCCCCATTTAACTTCCAGTAAAGCTGACCTCATCTTGGCTTAGCAATTTGTTTGCAGACGCGTTTGAAGAGTGAATAGCAACAACGCGATTTCCGGGGAGATAAACTTAGCCAAACCTCTTTCACTTCCTAGTGTCGAAATTCGCTTTCACATCCTGCTTTTTAATTTTTCTGGGCCTAATTAGCAGGGTAAACACAGGAACTAGAATACATCATACATTTGACCTCTCCATAACCTATTTAGAATAGAATAGAGCTAGAAGGGACCTGGGAGGTCTTCTAGTCCAGCCCCCTGCTCAAGCAGGAGAACCTATACCATCTCAGGCATGTGACTGTCTTGACTCTTCTTAAAGACCTCCAGTGATGGAGCGCCCACAACTTCTGGAGACAAGCTGTTCCACTGGTTAATTGTCCTCGCTGTCAGGAAGTTTCTCCTTAATTCCAGGTTGTTTGATCAGTGTGATCAGTTTCCAACCATTGCTTCTTGTCCTGCCTTCAGGTGCTTTGGAGAACAGTTTGAACCTCTCGTCTTTGTGGCAGCCCCTCAAATACTGGAGTACTGCTATCATGTCTCCCCTATTTCTTCTTTTTTTTAGACTAGCCAAACCCAAATCCCGCAGCTGTTTTTCATATGTTTTCGTCTCCAGGCCTTTGATCATTTTAGTTCCTCTTCTCTGAACTTTTTCCAAGGTCTCAACATCTTTTTTGTAGTATGGTGACCAAAATTGGTTGCAGTAGAACTCTTGTACACTTCTCTGACCTGTGCCTTGTGCATCCCCCTATACCCTTTTATACCCTTACCATTGTGTCCCTGACCCACACACTCACAACTCCAGGAAGCCAGCTGTTGTATTGATTAAATGTTCTCCCTGTCATGAAATTCCTCCTTAATTCCAAGTTGCTTCTCTCCTTCATTAGTTTCCATCCATTGCATCTTGACCTGCCTTCAGGGGCTTTGGAAAATAAATTGACCCCCCTCTTCTTTATGGCAGCCCCTGAAATATTGGAAGACTGCTACCATGTCACCCCAGTCCTTCTTTTCATTAATCTAGACATACCCAATTCCTGCAACCGTTCTTTATATGTTTTAGCCTCCAGTCCCCTAATCGTCTTTTTTGCTCCTCTCTGCACCCTTTCTAGAGTCTCAGCATATTTTTTGTATTATGATGACCAAAACTGGACACAGTATTCCAAGTGTGCACTCAACTAGTGAAGTATAAAGAAGTGCTATCAGATCTTGTGAACTTGATATTACTCCTCCGTTGATGAAACCTAGGATGGCATTGGCTTTTTCAGCACAGGGCTGGCTCATTCTTAAAGTGGTGGTCCATTAGGACGCCATCTTATACCAGACACAATCAAGGTGGAATGATCTTGACTTGATTTCTCACACTTTGCTCTTTCCCAGGTCTAAAGAATCTGCATTGCGCAGGTAGTCCTCAACTTACAACTGTTTAGTGACCATTCAAAGTTACAACAGCACTGAGAAAAGTGATGTATGACCATTTTCCACACTTAGAATTGTTGCAGTATCCCCATAGTCACGTGATCAGAATTTGGACGCTTGGAAGCTGACTCGTATTTATGACGACGGTTGCCGTGTCCTGGGGTCATGTGATCCCCTTTTGTGACTTTCTTATGAGCAAAGTCAATGAGGAAGCCAGCTTCACTTAACAACCAGGTTACTAATTTAACAACTGCAGTGATTCGCTTAACAACTGTGGCAGGAAAGGTCATTAAATGGGGAAAAATCCACTTAACGAATGTCTTGCTTAGCAACAGACGCTCAATTGTGGTTGTAACCCGAGGTCTATCCGTATCTGGAGTTCCTTGCTCACACTTTGCACTTCCCCAAGGTCTGAAGAATATTTATTATATTTCATTCACCTTTATTTTTATTTATTTTTTATTCTTCCTTTTTTCCCCCCCTCCCAAACACTATAGAAGTAACTTTTTCCTTTAAACACAATTCTGAAATGGACTAAATGAGATTGTGGCTTTGGGTTCATGTGACTTACTAACAGCTTCCTGTTCATACTAATCTCTTGATCATCCTCTAACAGTTGTTTTCCTGTTGCTATTTATTTATTTTTTCACTGTGATGGGAAATGGAACCCATTTTTTAAAGAAAGAGACCATTTCATTCAATTAATTAATGACAGAAAGATCAGGGGTCTGGGATGGGGCAGGGAAATCTAAGTGTGTTATTGAGGCACTTCTGCAGATGTGTGATCTTGATGCAACCCAACCCCTTACAGATCCCACAATAAAGATTATAAAAATAACAGAATAACAGAGTTGGACCTTGGAGGTCTTCTAGTCCAACCCCCTGCTCAGGCAAGAGAAATCCTATCCCATTCCAGACAAATGGCTGTCCAATCTCTTATTAAAAACTTCCAACGATGAAGCACCCACAATTTCTGGTGGCAAGCCGTTCCACTGGTCAATTGTTCTCACGGTCAGGAAATGTTGCTTTCTCTCCTTGATTAGTTTCCGTCCGTTGCTTCTTGTCCTGCCCTCAGGGGCTGTGGAGGATAGTGGGGACCCCTCTTCTTTGCGGCAGCCCCTCAAATATCAGAGCACTGGCTATCGTGTCGCCCCTGGTTCCTTCTTTTCATTAAACTAGACTACACTACCTTTTGTTTCTTTTATGCTTTCGATAGCAAAAAAAGCCGCACATTTCTCACAGAGATTCACACCTTCGCATGTGATGTGTGGAAAAAATTTTGCGCGCACGAGTTGCTCTCTCGGTTCAATGTGCTGTGGTTTTTACCATGAATCAGAAGTTCATGGGAAATGACTGTGCCTTTATTTTTGTCAAAAGGTGGTGTTTTTTTTTAAAAAAAAAACACTCTTGGGTCTCAAGTGTGCAGTTGATAAAGAGAGCTGCAGGTTCAAAACCCCTCCAGATTAAGGTTTCGATTTGCGATGACGCTTCTTCATTTGCCGAGCTGCGTTGCAGTTATTTGATTATCCTAAAAATCCTGTTCGAGAAATAAATTAGGGCTTACAAGTAGCCCTCGACTTAAACAACCGCAAGATGGTTGTTAAGTAGGTCGCAACCTGTTTTGCAGCCTTATTGCCACATTTGTTCAATGAATCACTTGCGGCTATTAAGTGAATCGTCATTTAGCGAATCAGGCTTCCTCCGTTGACTGCTTCCCCAGGTGGGAAGGACGCAAATGGGGATCATGTGACCCTGGGGCGCTGCAATCGTCATAAATGCATGCCCGTTGCCAAGTTTGGGTCATGTGACCATGAATTAACATAAATAAAAGAATCAGTTTGATCTAATGCAGGGGGTCTCCAAACGTGGCCACTTTAAGATTTGTGGACTTCAACTCCCAGAATTTTAAGACTTGTGGACTTCAACTCCCAGAATTCCCCAGCCAGCAATGCTGGCTGGGGAATTCTGGGAGTTGAAGTCCACAAGTCTTAAATTCTGGAAGTTGAAGTCCACAAGTCTTAAATTCTGGAAGTTGAAGTCCACAAGTCTTAAATTTACCAAGTTTGCAGACCCCTGGTCTAGTGGTTGAGACACCAGACTAAAAAGCAAGAGGTTGTGAGTTCAAGTCCTGCTTTTGCCATGAAATCAAGCTGGGTGATTTTGGGCCAATCCTTCTTCCTCATCCGAGCCCACCTCACAGAGTTATTGTTCTGGGCAAAATAGGAGGAAGCAGGTGTCCGGGATATTGTATATTCCCTGCTTTTGAGTTATTTACAAAAACAATAAAGGCGGGATATAAATAAATCAAATGAAAATTAGAACTCTACGAAAACTTAATTGGGTTCCGCGAGTGATTAAGGGGGGGGGACATTTTGCATGCCGCCCATTTCCTATCCGAATTTCGCATCTTGTCTGTGGTTTTTTTTTTTTTAATAGTTTCAGCGGCCTGAGAAAGTTCCGGCGTCCTCTGATCTTTTTGCTTCCATTACGCACGGAAACGATTGATTTGGGGGTTTTGAGACTTCAGTGTGCAGGGTTGAGTTGCAGCGTGTGTTTTTTTGCAGCGGAAAAAAAAAAATTAAGGTTCAAACCAAACCAGGCCACAACTGAAAAGGCCTGAAGTGCCTCGTTCTGGGTCAGCCAAAAGCTTGTGGCGCTTTTTAACATGGCCAGACGTTTTATGAAAAGTGCATTTATGTCCTAAATACATTGAATTGCTGTATTTCTTTTGAGTGAGAAAAGCTGTGTTTTGGAAAATACTTGTATTTTCCCTCTGTGGTCATTTCGTGCATGAAAGGAGCTCTTTGTATAGATCATAGCAGAAGGGAATTTCTTAAAAGCCCTTTTTTCCCCCAAATGTGTCTGTTCTTAAGAATGCTTTCTTAATGTGGACTAGAAATCCTTTCATGCGTGTACAGGCCTGGAGAAGCATCCTTGATTCTCTTACAAAAGTAATGGCGAATTGATCGACAATATTCGCTTTGTGTTATTTCTTTAGATCTTCTTTAAACAAAGAACTGCCCTACCTCCATCACTGGAGTTTTTCAAGAAGAGATTGGACAACCATTTAACAGGATTACAGAGTTGGAAGGGACCTTGGAGGTCTTCTAGTCCAACCCCTTGCTCAAGCAGGACAACCGGTACCATTTCAGACCAATGGATGTTGAGTCTCTTAAAAACCTCCAGTGATGGAGCACGCACAACTTCGGAAGGCAAGATGTTCCACTGGTTAATTGTTCTCACTGTTAGGAAATTTTTCCGTAGTTTAGGACGTTTCTCCTTACTTTGCCCAGGATGGTATAATCACTCCTGCCTTGGGCAAGGGGGTTGGACTAGAAGATCTCCAGATGCCTTCTGCAGCTGCCAAAAAAAGCAATGCAATCCTAGGCTGCATTAACAGAGGGACAGAATCAAGATCACGTGGTGTGTTAATACCACTTTATAATGCCTTGGTAAGGCCACACGTGGAATATTGCATCTGGTTTTGGTCTCCACGATGTAAAAAAGATGTTGAGACATTGGAAAGAGTACAGAGAAGAGCAACAAAGATGATTAGGGGGCTGGAGGCTAAAACATATGAAGAACGGTTGCTGGAACTGGATATGTCTAGTCTAGTGAAAAGGACCAGGGGTGATATGATGGCAGAATTACAGTTTTTGAGGGGCTACCACAAAGAAGGGGGGGGTCAACTTATTCTCCAAAGCACCTGACGGCAGGACAAGAAACAATGGATGGTAACCAATCAAGGAGAGAAGCAACCTGGAGATAAGGAGAAACTTCCTGACAGTGAGAACAATTGATCAGTGGAACGACTTGCCTCCAGAAGTTGTGGGTGGTTCATCACTGAAGGATTTTAAGAAGAGACTGGATAGCCACTTGTCTGAAATGGATAGGGTTTCCTGCTTGAGCAGGGGGTTGGACTAGAAGACCTCCAAGGTCCCTTCCAATCTGTTATTCTACATTCTAAGGGTCCAGCCAGCCAATCAAACCAATCAAAATCAAACCAAAGGCAATCAAAAAAATTTTTAAAGCCTCACATTTGGCTTTTGCAGAGTGTCTGTTCCTGCAGACCACTAGGGGGCACTGTAGGAACGGCCATGAAATTCCACCAGGCACTTCTCTTTGTTATTCCTTTTTGTCCCTTTACTTTTGTGTGTACCTGTCCTCTACACACACACACACACACACCCCTACACCTGTGCAGACACACACCCATGCACCCACCTAGATACAAATGGACAGACACCCCCCCCCCAGTAATGCTAGATTCCAGACCTTTGTACAAAATATTTGAGTCTTTGGGGTAATTATTTAAAGCCCCCATAGTAATTGAGGAAAATTCTAATGGCAGCTAGTGCTTTGACTTACAGCCATTCGTTTAGTAACTGTTCAAAGTTGCAGTGGTGCTCAGACCTGTAACCAGTCCTCGTACTTATGACCCTCGCCACAGCCCCGCGGTCAGGTAATCAAAATTCAGGGGGGGGTGTTGGTTTTTTTTTGCCAACCAGCGTGTATTTACGAGAGTTGCAGAATTCCCAAGGTCAGCTGATCGCCATTTGTGGCCTTCCCACCCGGCTTCTCTTCTCTTCTATTCTATTCTATTCTATTCTATTCTATTCTATTCTATTCTATTCTAATTTCCCTATTCTATTCTATTCTATTCTATTCTAATTTCCCTATTCTATTCTATTCTATTCTTATTGTTCTGTTCTATTCTACTGTATTCTACTCTATACTCTATTCTATTCCGTTCTGTTCTGTTCTACTCTGTTGTTATTATTATTGTATTGTACTCTACTCCACTCTAAATTTACCCCAGGCAATGTCTGCCTCAGTGTTTCCATCTGTACAATAGGCACTAATACCCCGGAGGTCATAACTTAATCCAGGGGTCCTCAAACTTGGCCCTTTTATGACTTGTGGACTTCAACTCCCAGAATTCCTCAGCCAGGTACGCGTGCCTGGCTGAGGAATTCTGGGAGTTGAAGTCCACAAGTCATAAAAGGGCCAAGTGTGAAGACCCCTGACTTAATCTGTGTGGTTTTGATCATTGTGAGCCGGAACTCAAACGGCTCTCAACGTGGCGGTGTTACAATCCCCCGGAGAGGCCGTAAGCAGACACATCTTCCTTCTCTCCGTCCAGCGTGGCTGTCAGCTGCACCGAGGACATCCCGCACTTCGGCCCTTCCATTCCCGCCGAGAACTGTTTCCTGAAGGGCCCGGCCTTCCGGGATCTCCTGCTCGCCAAGGTGATCAATGCGGAAAATGCCGCCGAACGCTCAGGCAAGTTCCACGCCATGGCCACCCGGACGCGCCAGGAGTACCTCCGCGACCTGGCCCTCAACCACGTCACCACCAGCACCTTGGAGTCCTCCACCTCCCGCCGGCCGCTGATCACGTTGCCGGCGGCCAAGAAGCGAGAAAAGTCCAAGGTTCCCAAGGGGGCCGAGGCCCACAGCGCGGGGGCTTTGGTGTGGGGCGTCTGGGCCCGGGACGGGAGCAAAGAACCCAACAGCAAGACGTTGGAGCTCCGGTGCCTGCTGGGCATCTCGTCGGAGTTTCTAGTCCTCATTGAGGCCCGCGAGAAGAGAGTGGTTTTCAACTGCTCGTGCCGGGACGTCCTAGCTTGGACCTTTTTGGAGAGTTGCACCTTGGACCTTTATTACGAGACCGGGGATTACATTTGCATGCGTGTGGACGAGGGTCAAGCGTCCGACATTCGGGATATCGTCCATCGGCTTCAAGTAGGATTTTTCACTCCTTTCCCTCTTTTTCCTGGAATTCTTATTGCGAGTGCACAATGTCCGAAATGGTGTAGGGTTTCCTGCCTGAGCAGGGGGTTGGGCTAGATGATCTCCAAGGTCCCTTCTGTTTTGATGTTTTTGCTTTTGCATTTGGCATCTGGGAGAGAACCTCTGGCAGAAAAGAGCCATGCAAATGTTTAAAACGCAAAGATTTATGTGTTCCCACTTTTGTTACTTTTAATCAGGCCAGTGTACATATTTCCCTCACCACAACGGCTCTGTGAAGAGTTGAGTGGCCTCAGAGATGAATGGTCTCTAAAGCAATCAATCTCGGCAACGTTATGTTGTGTGGACTTCGACTCCCAGAATTCCCTAGCCAGCCTTGCTGCCTTGGGAACTCTGGGAGTTGAAGTCCACGCAAGATAAAGTCTTGCGATATGTGGATTTCAACTCTCTTGCCGGCTGGGGGATTCTGGGAGTTGAAGTCCACGCTTTGCCGAGATTGAGAAACACTGGCCTAAAGTCAGCTCAGGGGCTTCTTTGCTTAAGGGAGGACTAGAACTCAGAGCCTCCCACTTCTTAGTCCAACTCGCTCACTGCCATGCCCAACGATCTCAAGAGCCACAGAGCCATTTGCCAAAAGGTTTTGTGCCATCCCTGAAAATCACTCATCTTTTCTCCTCCCCCCCCCGCCGCTTTCTTCCGGCAGTTGGTGACCCGCGGGTGCGAGACCCGGGAACTGACCCTCTTACGGAACGGCGTCGGCCAGCTGGGCTTCCAAATGGACCACGAAGGGTTTGTAACCGAAGTGGAACGCTTCACCTTTGCGGAAAAAGCCGGGCTCCAGCCAGGGGCCCGCCTGGTCCGTGTGTGCGAGAGGCCCTTGCCTGGCCTGACGCCCCCCCAGACCGCCGAACTCCTCCGCACGGCGAAAAAAGTCACCATCACGGTCGTTCCTCCAGACGAGAACGGAAGACCCAGAAGGTGAGCAGATCCGTGTCAGTCGTATGCCCGGGGCGCTCCTGGGCACTTCTCCTCTGTTCACCTTGCTCTGGTGTTCCCTTCATTGGGCATCTTGCAATTCTGGGGGACGACGATTCAGATAGTCAAGACTACAGAACCCATCCTGCCCAGCTTGCCTGTGGGTGTTAAATTTATCTCCCCCCCCCCAAGCTGGAGAAGTTTATAATCTTTGCCGAATGACAGGAATCTGTCTTCGCAAGAAGGTTTGGGAGCTTCCCACACTGATAACGTATCAAATGGGATCAGGTTTTTCACTGGCTTTAAATTGGCTTACCTCGATCAGGGTGGATTTTTTTTCCAAAAGAAAGACTTCTGGACTTTTATCTTGGCTATTGTCGCTCTGAGCATCATAATTCTGGCACTCTGAGCTTGTTGTTGTTTCCTTGTGGACATTTCATTACCAAGCTAAGTAACATCATCAGTGCACCGATGGGTACTTTGGGTGATGAAATGTCTGCAACAAAACAACCAAACTCAAGAGAGCACCAAGGGCCCACAGTCATCGTCCTCCTCCTCCTCCTCCTCCTCCTCCTCCTAACGCCACTCCCTTCTACCACTGATGATGTTACCTAGTTGGGTCATGTAAGAAAACCAGCAAGCTCAGAGAGCACCAAGGGCCGTACAATCATCATCATCATCGTCCTCCTCCTCCTCCTCCTCCTCCTCCTCCTCCTCCTAAC